ACATTTTATAACCGTTAAGTAAAAGGGTGTCATTTCAAGATGCGGTACTGACCAAGTTGGGTTTTTTAATGTATGGCAGTTATCACTGGCTGGAAATAGAAATCCTTGAAGCGTACCCATATTATGATTTTAAGCAAGGTAAAATGAACACATTTCAAACAATAGCTTAATGATAGTGTCCTTTACTCCTTTCATCGTACGACATTTACTTCTTCTTAATTTAACTGAGTAGGTTACAGAAATATAAGCATACAACTTGCATGCCGGTTAGATAGAAAACTTTACAAGTTATAAAGAAACAAGGCAGTGACAGACGCAGATTGTTGAAGGGAACTAGTATAGTCATGGTAACGGGTTATCAATAAAGATTTGTTAGTGGGATTTAATAATATATAATGCCAGATGGTTCTAAATTCCAATTCGTTCAGATGGGTGCCGTGGTAATATGACATCCCGTCAGAGGGACTGTTTAACCCTTATCATGCTAGAATAGACTTGCCCAACTTTGAATATGGGACTGCCCATACACAATTTAAGGGATGTTTTTAACAAAATACTAAAATTATGCTACCAACAGTATAAAGCCTATTAAGACTGCACTGATGCGCAGACTGGCCTGACTAAATAAAGGCAATCGCAACTTTCCGGCCCTTTCCTAAGGATAATAAATAATAGCTGAGGAAGTCCCGATTGAAATAATGGTGGCAAAGGTTAACCACCTCTGTATTATAGATTTTAGCTATGATATTATTTTTTTGTCAATATCCACAGAGGTAATTTTTCCTCTTGACAGAATTACGGTAAGAATGCATTTTTGTCAGAAATAATTTTATAATTCAATTCATGATAAGTTTTATCTGGTGAACTTAATGTGTGGCATAAATGAATTAATCCTTATGCACGTTTAAGGCCATAAGGACGTTTATATTTTATCATTACAGAACGAAAATTAAACACTAGCTAGACTATCACTTTACAAAGAATTATAAAGATGAACATTTATAGCAACAAAATAACTTTTTATTGTTATTGTACGATGTATTAGATCGAATGACCCTGGAATATTTTAGATATAACATGACTTTCTACTTATGTTTATGTTTTTAATGCATTTGTTTTCCCTGTCATAATCATAAAGAGCAAATATATGGCCTTAACACTTGATATACTGATGAATGATGATGTCCATAAATATTCTACATGATTAAAATTGTGCTTGTGTCGGTGATGGTGATGATAATACTGGTTATTACAGTGGTTTTGCTGTTGCTTATCCATGGTGGCGCAGTCGGTGAATGTGCCGATGTTGATGAAAGTGATGATGATGATGGCGGAGAAGATGGTGATGAGATCGACGATGACGTTGGCTGAGGCGATTACGACGACGATGATGATGACGTCAACGATGATGATAATAATGATAAAATTACTTTCCTTGTTCATATGAACATGCAGACAGACCCTTGCAAATTTGTTGAATATTTGTGAATGAATGTGTGTTGAATGAATGACTCAAGAAATTTGAAAATATGTACAAGTAATTTGAATAATTAACAAATCAGTCTTGGCGATATGTCGCCAGGTTTGTCATACAAAATTATGTTAAACATGTCTAGTGATATTTTCATACAATTAAATCATGCTCGTTTCGGAGAAATAACCACATTTTGAGTTTTGACTTGTCTGATCCGGATCATTTAGTGCATAAACCTACCTGCTAGTAGCGAGATGTCTAAACTCTGCGGCACTGTATATTTTTAATTAAATGAAATGTCCGCCGGAAAGTGCATTATTTTAATGATCATGATTTGTGGAGATCATGGAAAAATACACATATCTTTGTTTTTGTTTCAATGACTAGGAGACTTGCGTTCGTGTGTTTGTCTCTATAAATTAAGGCGCAGAAGTAAAATCCCTATGTTTATGCATAAAGATTTGTGGGCCTAGCCTTTTTAATAAATTTATGCAGGTGCGCCTATCTATTAATAGACAGAAGGCATATCGGGCTGTATTTGTTTAGTGTTTTGTTTCGTTTGGATGTGAGAATATGTCAAGTTTTCTTCTAAAACATCGCCGGGAGATTTAATTCGACTGTTTGTATAGCATAAAAAATCCTTAATGACGAATTCGCATATTTTGCCTGAGTGCGATTAGAAATGAAGTTTTACAGGTATGGTTAGGCATAGTTTTAAGGTCTATATTACAGTTTTTGTAGCAATTCCCACCGAACGGTGAAGCATAAATGTCAAAACTTCCTCTCAAAAATGGACCGGTGTGCGATTCATATGTTTAACTTTTGGACAAAAATAACATTATATGGGAAAATAATTATCTTAGATAATAAAAGCATCTTTGTAGCTTTTTTGTTCTTGCTTTGAAATCAGTCTTAAACGCGTGTCATTTTGACCCCTTATTACATAATACTACGTGCACTTTATCATTTATAACTGAATTTCTTATTAGGCGTATTATTAAAGCGGTATATAATTTTATTAAGTCATGCTTTGATCTGATTTCTTTCCCTGAAAAATACTAAATTTACACTCTACTATTTGATCCGAAACTAAAATATGATGAATATTTCCTTATACATACGATTAAGTTGTACAGCTAGCATTGAGATGTGTGTAAAACATATTATATACCTTTGAAACCGGAAAAATATATGTTGATTCTCCTTCAAAAACGTTACAAACGATTAACTTCCTTGTTCTTTTTCAGATCTAATACTTGTAATTATATGTTTATATAGCAGAAATCACGAAGTCAAATTCTGAAATAATATTAGTATATTATCAAACTGATTAGAAAGTAAGAAATTAGTAAAGTTGAAACTATATGTACGTATACACGATATGATATGATATCATGTTATAAATAAAGAAAAGTTTTAGAAATTACCTTAAATCAGGGAAGTTTTTAAAAAAGTATGTTTTAAAGAAAAATGTTGTGACAAAAAACGTCTCTTCATGCAAACAAACACTAAAATATCGAAGCGTTTTATCACGGCATAGATAGACGTATCATGAAAATGTAGAGGTATATTACATAACACATTAGTTTAAATTTCAAAATATTTTCACTCCATTTGTAAGCACTGGTCTTACTCTAAAATCCTCTAGCATACGTAATTATACTTATCAGCGGGTAGGTAGGATGTCGGTGTGACGCTATCTTAAGTTATTTCAGTTTTTGCGGTGTTGAATCACTTATGAAAATTAACTGAATCAAGTTATATAATAGAGAAAACGAGCGAAGATAAGTGTATCGTATGTATCGTATAGAAAGACTATTATATAATGTTACAGACATAATTTTAAAGTTATTTATGGGACTTGAGGAGCCAAGTTGTTCAGAATGTGTCACTAACTTGAAAGCACTTGTCTTTCAGTTGCACTGCAGTGCCCAGTTGCCCCTCTGGCACCGCTCAAGTCCCCACTTGTCCCTTTCTCAATGCATTATCTAGCTATTGCACTTTTATCCAAGCTGGAGAGTTATTATAGGGTATTACAACAAACATTGTACCTAAAATCTAACAAAGAAAGTAATCGCAACTCTTTTGGCATCATACAGTTTATCTTGAACTGCTGCTTGGTGCCAGGAAAAAGGTAGAAAATGTAGAACGGCTCGTACGAGCACATATGGTTCAAGAAATTACATTTGTTGTAATTTTAAGAAATATCATTCGTAAAATTTTTGGAATTATATATTAATATGTAAGCATTTCAGTGATATATAAGCCAGCGGACCGAATTCTCTTAAAATGGAGCCAAAGGATCTAAAATTAAGTTAAATACAGCAAAAAAAAAAAAAAAGAAAAAAAAGCTACAAGGAATAAAATTCCGTAGTCACAGCTTTTTAAATGTAGGCTCCAAATGAAAACTTTGCAGAAGACATTATAACGTAGCCTGATGCTATATAATGAAATCTCATACGAGGCTTTTAACATATATACATCTTTTTAGGGTACTCTGATACATATAGATTAATGGTCATTTCTCTATAGCAGTTTTGCTTGGCAATTGTTCCAAATATATCCGGATGAACTATTAATTATCCCTATCCAAAGTATTCGTCTTTAAACATCATGCTGTTGTTAACTGTACAGTTGTTTAAAAGAAAGTATCGTCTAAGATGCAATTTCAACCGTCCCTTTTTTTATTTTACGACGTGACTGTGTCATTGCAGTCATCTACTTGAAATGATATACGATTCGGATGAGAGAAAAAGTGATAAAAACATGTATATACATTGTAAAGTGACACAGTTACGACTGTCAAATCAGTGTGTGTGTGTTTTGTTGTTGTTGGTGGTTTTTTGTTTGTTTGTTTTTTACATATGTTCTTCTTTTACTGATTGACAGTACTACATACTATAAGTAAGAAAAAGGTGAAACAATAGAGCTGTTGAAACAAATGGTGCACATGTACAGTATACTGGTAAAAAATACGATTACGTAATACTCAAAACTACTTTTTTCAACAAAACGATACATTTTTGAAAAAAAAATCTCTTTTATTGTATAGAATATTGTTTGGAATATTTTGATGTTTAATGACTATATGTTGCTGATAAGTTTCTTGTATACTTTGTTACTTTAGTGAAAACTACATGCCGTTCGATTAAGAAAATGGGCATTCTAATTGTTAACGAAATAAGGTTTATACCGAGGTCAAAGAACTCATAAAGTGAATGATCTTTTGTCCGTGTCCATATTTTACAAACTACCACCACATCTACAGTTTTAAATATACATCTGATAAAAAAACTATAATGTCAATGGACATTTCTAACATAAACATGAGCACATACAATGTCAATGGACATTCAATCAACTGAAAATTCCGAACCAATCAATACCTGACCACTCAAAATGTCAATGAACATTCAGAAAAATCATACCTTGACATTCTTGACTACCTATATTGCAAATGTCAATGGCCATTTTAAAACTATTCCTGTTAGTGAAAGTTTAATAAACATAAGAAAAAATGACTGACCTTCCCTGTCTCCTGAATCTGGGACACCGACATGGAATTCGCCGACGCCGACGCAGCCATATACGGGAATATTAACAGGCATATCCAAGATCTAAGTAACATTTTATCACAGACTTTTATACAAAGGAAGTCATTTTTAATATTAAATTTAATTTCAAATTTTCACCACTGTCGTCGGGAATTCATATCCCGTAATATCCACCAGTATTCATCATGAATGAATTTTGTCATCACATATCACTGCTGTTTTGTTTTTAACAATGTGTTTACATATTTTTAGAAACATTAAAATTAATATATATAATTATCCTATACCAATTAGGAACACTGTGTGTCTTACTTGTTTCACATTATTATAGGTTTGTTTTAAAGTCTTTAATTTTTTTGTTACTTCTATAATAGAACTAAAGTGACAGAAAATATAAGTGACAGAAAACCGTACTCCGATTAAATTCCATGTACCTATTAGATTAATAATATTTTCTCATAAATCTATGGTCTACTTTTATGCGTGTATTTCTATTTTCACATTTTTGTATACTAACTTTTTTTCTTTTTTTTTCAACGCATCTTAACATTCAATATACACACGTGGCCCTACTAAAAATGTGACACTTATTATCTATTGTAAATTGTATTGTTTCCCCACAAAAATATTACGTATACTTTAAATCCACTTTGTTCACGGCGTCACGTAATTTCACACTGCCGTACAATTCAGTCCGTACACTTTTAACACCATGTTGAGGTAATCCGTAGATTTTGAGCCCTTGCTAATCCGCTGTGGGATAATCCAACATTAAACATATTCTAATATGTACCTTACGATTCGTTTATAATGTAATCTTACTTGTTTAACACAACGACAAAATTATCCTATCTAAAACGCTCGCTTAATTAATTAAAATGTTTCCCGCTACAGATTACCAACTGAATGTTTACGTAACACAGTATATAATAGCGGGATTGTAAACAACCGTGCATTTTGATATAATTATCATTTTTAGCAGTTTATGAATTTAGCAGAACTTGTCGTGAATGAAGATTTGCCAAAAATGAAATATCACCGAGGGAAGAGAGAAATTTACAAACTATCTCGGTAATTGATATAGTGAGCAGGCGAGATATCGGATCGAGGTTACCAAACGCTTAACCCCGCCTTATGAATATTCATCGATGCTTGTCTTTTATCTATTTGAGCGTTCTTTTTTTTTTCTTTATTAATTCTAGAGATAAAGACATCTCGGTAAAAATAAATCTGTAAAATAATCACGTGATTTACGCTGAAATGACACGTATCTTTATTTTAAACCTAGAAGATTTCTATCATTTTCAGTTTTAATATAATTTAAGATGATATGCACAAATAAAATGATATAAATTCGTTCCACTAGTTTATTTTGCACATGACGATTAACTATGCCACAGATATATAATTTTATATTTAGCTCCATGACTATGCAAAAATATAACAAAATGTTTTTCTGTTGTTTTTTGTTTTCAAAACCGATCTTGAAATTGTATAGACCATTTATTAGTTATGCATGTTTATGTAGAGGAGTACATTACGTAAAAAGTAATGAAATAGTTTGTAATTTTAAAGCCGAATGCCCTACTGTACAGGTTCATGCTAATTTTGTTGAAAATTTTCAAAATGTGATAAAAAGTAAAATATTTTCCAGGGAACACAGTAAGTAATTTACAGATTGCAAACAGCACTTTCTATTCATGTAAAATATCAAATGACAAAATATGCACAAAGTGCCCTTAAGTGCGTTAGTCACGCAGTATAAATATGGGGGTAAATATTGCCAAATCAGTCATTTAGTGCATGTAGCATGCAAATTATTAAAACCTTTGTTTGATTTTCTTGAAATGTTTTGGCTCATCTGGGGGCATGCAGCTTTAAGACGTCATGTATAAGTTAGAAAACATCGTCTACAAATGTGAGGGGATGGGTTAAAAGTTACACAGGATCTGTTAATCTAATATTGCGATACAATACAATTGCAAGTTGCAGCATATTAATGTTATGCTACTTTCTTTATTTATTTATATACATTTTCAATAGTTATTTCAATTTCCAAACAGTGTCGGACATTTCTTTCTTTGAAAAAAGAGAGTAAAAAGTGTGAAAGAGGACTACATTTTTATGTTTTGTAATGGGATAACTTGAAAATAAATACTATGTATTTTATTTCAAAATTTAATGCAAATTTTACACTTACTGTCAGCCTATATAGCTAGCGAACAGTAAACAGACAGTTAAAATACATCCGTGTTGGGGGAAAAAGCAGCACTTATATATGCATGGCTTAAAATGAAGATAACGATCAACGAAACTGGCAAAAAGACGACATTTCGAATCACTTAGATACAGAAATCAAAGTACTGAAAGTCTGATTGTTACTGAGGGACAGTGTTGACGGGAAGGACTAAAACCCTCGCATTGTGTGTCTTGTATTTTTTGGCAGCGTGTGGACAATGGTGAACATGAAAAGACTTCTAATCAAAACTTCTCGACCCTTTCCGTCAAACTTCGGGTAATGATTATGAATGATCGACGAGGTGTTCCTGATGAAACAGTATACCATGTCCCATGCTAAATCATGTGTGATATGTCACATATAGTATGGGTTGCAATGATTTTATTGGAGGTCAACTCCGTATTTTGTCATACAAAATCCTCTACGCTGACTTATTATATATCAGAGAATCTTCATATATTTGAAAATCTGCAATTATTTAGAAATATATAAAACATTCATATGGCCACAGTTTAATGGTTAGAAGAACTACTTTTGTCGATGTATTTTGCTTGTAATTAGTTTTATTCAGTCGTACATTTATATTTGCAATATGGCCGAATTAAATTTACATGCCATGTAATGATTTTCCTACATCAAAGAGTCGAGGCCTTTTGGTGGATGAGCTATAAGTAACAAAGATTTTCCGGTGTGTTTCAAGTGTTACTATGATCTGTATTTCAAGACCTGCAAAAAGGTCACGATATTAAAACAACAATAATTATTGCGTTTCTATTACATAAAACAGCCATGTTTACTTAGAAACTTTTAGACTATTTAAACTCAAGTGTCACCGTATGCATACAAATTCAAGTGTCACCGTATGCATACAAATTCAAGTGTCACCGTATGCATACACATTCAAGTGTCACCGTATGGCGTATGTATAAGTAAAAACTTTGAGATGTTCGTTCGATCAAAATGTGCATATTCGAGTTTTCGTTGTTTCCTTTAAAACTTATTGTAAGTCAAATGCTTGTACAGCAGTCTACAAAAACCTGCAATGATAATGGATTGTTCCTGGCACATTGAAGGTCAGTTCCGCGCAACAGAATTAGGCGGATGAAATGTTTGGCCATGCTAATATTAGCCTGCTAGCGGCAACAGTTTCTACACAACTATGATCGTCGGACGCATCCGCGCCGTCTGATTTCGCTTTTCAATCTGTACATATTTTGAAATTTTCTGTAAAAAATAATGAATGACTTTGTCCAGATTAAAAACAAAGGCAGGCCAATTAAAATATTTAGCGTGGTAAGAGTTGAAAAGAATCTCATAACTGAGACGCAGTCATTAAGCATCATGATTCATACTTTTTATCTGTTAGTAAGAAAATAGTAGAAGTGTTTCTAGTCAGAAAAGCTAGTAAAGAATGTGAAAAAAGAAATACACGCATAAAAGTAGATCGTAGATTTGTATTTCTAGTCAGGGTATCAGGTGGTTAAAATGTTAATAACTACCATATAAAATAACCTTTAATTGTGTATTCATTTACAAAGTGCTGAAGTCAACTTTTGCCTTATTTGTATTTTTCTTACGGTGGCATAATTCGGACACCATATAACCAGATAATTATCGCGTTAATTATGTGGTAAACATAAAAGTATCTAGTAAATAGTTAATTATTGCGTTAATTATGTGGTTCTAGCATTAAATTACTAGTTAACAATTTGATGAAAATTAACGTCTTAAAATAATATCATAGTGCCCGCCACTGCCGCCACATGGAACATATCAGCAGTTCAATGTGATGTGTTCCACTATAGTTACTTAACGCGTCAACCAAACGCGTTAACCACACAGTTATCAGTAAGGCGTCCATCACATAATTATAAATTATTGTATTAACGTGTTAACCGTATTTTTATCAGTTATCATGCCCATGCGTTAACCACATAATCACCAGTTATCATGCTAACGCGTTAACCGCATAATCATCAGTTATCATATAAACGCGTTAACCGCATAATCATCAGTTATCATATTAACGCGTTAACCACATAAGCATCAGTTATCATAGTAACGCGTTAACTACAAAAACATTATATAGTTACATTATGTTAACGCTTATCAGTTATCATGTTAACCACATATTTATATATCAGTTACTTTTGTCGAAACACGTTAAGTAAGTAGCTAATCACTTGTCTTTAACAGATGAGAAGTAAGTGATTTAGGCGATTTGTAACTACATATATAGTTAGCCACATAGGTATCAGTTAACAATGCTATTGACACATAAATTGAATAACTGATCACCTATCAATAACCAATGTTGCAAGAAGTGGCAGTTGTGGACACTTGCGTGCATTTTCCTGTTGAGACTTTTATTTTACTTAAAATATTTTCAAAGAGTTACTAAATAGTTACTAAAAGCTTTAACCGCATACTTAAAGCGATGATTAAGTGTTTAACCAGTTACTTAACGCATCACGTGATAACTATATTGTTATCCAGTGGCACAAATATGCCACCATGATATTTTTTTTCAAACTTTTGTAACGTTTACCTATATACAGTTATTATACGAACTATCAGTATCGAAATATGAGAACATTAAGATACTTAAAAGTGTACGCAGATTATGAACGTGTTCCGTAGTTTAAACATCTGCTTTTAACACCTGGGCATTGAGCATTAGGCAAAAGTATCAAAATTAGGGTCACGGCTCGAATCCGAAATAAATGGTTCATTCATTACCTCGGTACGCTCGTTAAACAAACTTAAACCCCGTAGAAATTTCTTAATAAACTCCTACTTGTGTATATTGAACAATATAATATATCTATTTGTACAAATATGCATATCAAAGGTGTTTTAGGGGAAATATATGTATATATAATTAAAGAGGCGTTATTCAGTTGGAAATTTAACTGCATGACTCCATTATGATATAGTTATCGTTTAATTCGGTAGGCAGACACGGTGATAAATATGGTTACAAATGCATCAACTCATACTGGTTTGCAATAACCAGGCTTGTGTATTAAATGCAAAAGAAACTGCGAATTTATTAAAATTCAATAAAATAGTCAGTGTGAATGAAGGGTAAAATTGCCAGTGTCTGTTATATGTGTAAATTATCATCGCATTATGAAATATTTGTTGTACGAAATATTTTAAAGAAAGCATCTCTTAGTAAAGAGTATTTACAGTAAAAAGATTTTTGGCAAAAAATCGTAACGTGTAGTGTTACCTAAAATATGATGAATAAATGAGTGTTGAATAAAATTTAAAATAATAATAATAATAATAATAATAATATTATAAAATTTAAAAGAAATAATAATAATAATAATAATAATAATAATAATAATAATAATTATAAATATGTAGGTTGATGGGTGTCTGGGTCAGTGGATATATGGATTGATGGTTGAATTAAGAAATAAGTTGCGATAAAATGATCTGCGTTAAGAATGCAATATTTTAAAGTAAGGTTTCCTACATGTATTTAAAAACTGAGAATGAAAATATTAATTATACAAAAGTAACCGTTCAAAAAAGTTGCAAACAGACGATGTGAAGGCCAATTGCTTAATTATTATTATTTCTTTATATCTTTTTTCGGGCGACATACATGTAGATTGATTTTCGTATAGTAGATATTTTTTCCTCTTGATATGATGTGACTTGTGAGTTAAAGTTTTAATTATCTTCAGCTTACGATGTAACAATGTATCTAATAACTGCACAGTTCTAACAAATCTGAATCAGCAAAGTAAATTTTAAAAAAAATCTTAAAAAATTAAAAATAATTTTATAAATGACCTATCTGACCCTCTCTCCCAGTTTTTGGATACAGTACTTTTTACCATCAAAGATAGTTGGCCAATTCTGTATTAAGTTAAGACTCGTTCGTTTCATGCTTAGCATAGTTTTTTTTACCTGAAATAACACCTGCAACTGAAATAACACCCGCAACAACCGAAGTGTGCAAAAGGCTCCAAATTTACTTTTTTACGTTTTTGAAAAAGGAAAATCTTATCCTACAGATATTTTTTTCGTGAAGAATATTTTATTTTTAAGTATATTTTAAGGAAAAAAACATATTTAGGGTAAAAATCTTTTAAGTTTGATGAACTAGAGTCATGGGGTCAACATCGTATTTGAGTTGTAACACGGGAAATTACTACTGCATATTTGTTTTGCTATATAGTGTAAGAGTATTGTCCCGTTTATAATTTATCCAAGGTTATCCACTAAAAATTTGTACATTAACTGTTCACAAATCAAAGTAGCGAGTGTATATAGGAGTTGGTCGGTTTTATTTAAGATCACATAAGTGTAAAATTGAATCTATAAACTCTAGATTAATAGGTAAAGGACATTTGTTGCAGTATTAAAAAGAAAGCAGTGATATATTTAGATTTGTCAGTTTGCGCATGCGCATACATTTGTTTACAAACACGTATTTCCGTTTGGAAAATGTTAATATTTTTTCGATTTTCGTCAAATTAAAGCTATTTTCTTAAAAATTTAGTTATGCGGATTTGTGCTTTTGTTCATTTATACAACTTTAAAGAAAAAAAAAGGTAAGAACATTTTTGATATTAATTTTATATATGATAAATATTCTTATACCTTCGACTGGGAGTTGTGGCGTGCTCCTGTAATCTAGCTACTTGGAGGTCGGGATTTGGGACGGCTTGAGGGCGGGGGTTCTGCCTTCCGGTGTACTATGTCGATCGGGCGTCCGCACTAAGCTCGGCATCAATATGGGCTCTTTAGGGGAGCTTAGGGAGTCCAGGTTGTCTAAGGAGGGACGTACCGGCCCAGGGTGGAAACACAGCAGGCAAAAGTTCCCGTGTCGAACAGTAGTGGGATAGCGCTTGTGAATAGGCATCGGTTGGTAGCCCGTCCAACATAGTGGGACCAGGTCCTTTTTTATTGTTTTCTTTTAATTTCATTTTTTTTTTCATTTTCAATTCAATTTAATGAATTTATTGTTTGTCGAATATATCATAAAGAAACAGTTAGTGAGATAATGCTTGAATTATATTGCAACATGCTGTGAAGTTCATCAAAATATATCTGTGCTTCTAACAATACGTACAAAATCTCTAAAATATTATTAAAATAATTGTATGTTAAAATAATTTATGTTACATTTAGCACCTTTTTTCGTTTTAGCTACTTTTATGCAAGCAGTTTAAAGCCAGGTTCAGTATGAGTTCAAGGTTTATATGCAGGTAATATACTTATTGTAGTATTCCGGATATGTTGAGCCTATCTTTCTGTAAAAAAACGCCAAAACTAATGATGTCTACTATGTACCAGTATGTGTATGAAACGGCATAACGAAATGTGATTTTTGCAAATCAATAATTACACTTATTGACGATCAAAACCGTATTCGAAACACAGTTACTTCCCTTATTAATATCTGCATTGTAACAAAACTGCAGACCGAACATGTAACCCCCGTTATAACCGAGTGCACGTCTTTAAAACCATCATTTAAGTACACACATTTTTGTTGTATTAAATATCAATTCTTTTTAAAGTTTCTTACATACACGGATAATGTATGTGTTGAAAATTTATGAAAGTGGAATTTATTAGAATTTTTAGACTTGAACTCGGTTAAGATATGGGATGGGGGAGGGAGGAGGGAGGAGGGGTAACAGGTCATAATTTGGATCCACTTAATCCCCAAATTAAGTATTCGTGGAATCGCATTTAAAATGAATGAGTCAATGATCTGCAGGATTGGTAACATCACATTTGTGACTAGCTCAAAATTGTAACACCATCACAACCCATATATTCCTCATCTAAAATCGCTTATAATTTGCAGGCTTAGGCTGAGCTGTTAGGACATACACTTTATTATAAATGTGAAAAAATAATATAAATAAAACAGCTTGAGAAAAAATAAATAAAAATAAGATAAGATAAGATTACATTTTATTAATTTTAATGATTTTTTTAAAATAAATTTAAAAATTATTGATAAATTCGTTAAACATATTTATAAATGAACCGTAGTAACGCTTTCAGTAACGCTTGTTTTATTAGATTTAACAATTAATTTATATTATAGGCATACTTGCTGTTCACAGTACATGCTTTTGCATAAACTCTAAAATGTTATTAAAATAACTGTATGCTTAATTGAATAATGTTATTTCATTATTTCTGCATGCTTGCCCGTATATTCCTGGTCAAACTTTCAGCACCCTTTTTTCGTTTTATGCAAGCAGTTTAAAGCCAGGTTCAGTATGTTTTCACGAATTATATGCACGTAAAAGTTTTTAGTATTTTGATTATAAAATCCTTTAAATTACATGACATATTTTGCAAGGTCTCTTTTTCAGTACACTGTTATCTAGCAGGTTATATCCGGCTGATCAATATGTTAATTGAGCATATTTTTCTGTAGTAAGTCTTAGAAAAACTAAACTTCTAATGGTGCCTGCCATTTAATATTTTGGATGTACCAGTATGTGTATGAAACGGCATGGGTTTAGCTTAACAAAATGTAATTTTGCAGGATACTGTTCTAATTAACGGGCAGATAATAAATCTATAACAAAACCGTATCTGAAACACAGTTTCTCCCCTTATTAACATATGTGCACTGTCACATAACTAGGGATCGAACATGTAACCCCCATTATAAATAATAACCGAGTATACGTCTATAAAACCATCATTAAAAGTTCAAAGTACACACATTTTTGCATGATTAAAAGGTATACTAATTAGAAAATATTGATAATTGCTACACAGTCTCATTGAAAAGATAAATATACATGATTGTTTTGACTTCACATAAAGAGATATGTTGTGTTTTAAATTCTACACACTATACATGGTCACAATAAAAATATATAGTGTCATTAAAAAGGCTGGCAGTTTTTTTAAGAAAAGACGAACTTTACTTGACCTATTATAGGGAGTGCAGCTTCGAATACATAGTTTATTCTTTCTTTTATTCAAATTAGACATATTAGGTTTTCAACACATTTCTGCGATTGAAATATTTTATGAAAGGATGAGCATAGTATATCTTTAAATATTAATTATTTTTAAAGTTGCTAAAATACATTAACATTTTAATTGTATGAACGGCCGTATATTGTACATGTTGAATTTTTTTATGATAGTGGAACTTTAAAATTAAAATGAGTTATATTTATCATCCAAAAGTGCTTATAATTTGCAAGGTTACGTTAATCTGTTTGGACTCGTGGACAATTCAGAGCTAAATTAAAAACAATGGTTAAAATGAGATAGCTTAAGAAGTACTTTGAAGAGTGGCTTAAGTGATTATTTTTATCTTAACCAATAGGAATACAAAATGTGTCCCTCGGCAATTGACTGAGTACTTTCCACTGTTTAATTATCATTATTTCACCGTTGATTCTTGTAATTAACACTAATATCTAGGAAGTATATATTTTAATGTATTTTTTTCAACTTGTCAAGTGTTATGTCACTGTGTTTTAATACGGGGAAAAACTCAAAAACGTATCCGTTTCCTTTTATCGTATACAGTCATAGTTGTAGCTTGGGATGGCAGAAGATTTGTAAAGATGATATGATGATGCGTGGGTAACAGTGGGTACGCGTATCTTAAAAGTACTTCTGGATAAAATACCAGCGTTAAACAGCAAGCTGCCGTCAACAACTGCCGGTGTGTCTGCGTCGGGTGAGTAAATGTTTTCTTTAAAAGAAATCTTAAGAAAGGTACACTAATTGGTTTAAGATATGCATAATGATTCACAGTTTTTTAAAAAAAATCAATGACTTATAAGCCAAAATATTTTGACTATATATAGGACACGTAAAATGTTCAGCTTACAATGAAATGTTGATTATTTTGCAAGAATCAAAATCAAAACTTTTTTCAATGATAGATCTATACGGAGTTAAAAAGTCCGGTTTCTCGCGTTTTTATACTTAAATCTTTAATAAGTGCATGTTATAAAAAATTCATGGTTGTGATCTTGACAATAAAAAAACGTCGGAACGGAGATCTTAAGATAATTTTGTATGGCAAAATGCCTTGGATAAATATAAAGGCTTCTGAAAGGAGCTTTGACAAACACCCAAGGTCTTCAAACGGTAGAAGTGTTGATTTTAGCGAAAAGTGTACATCTTAGCGAAACGAGGAAGCACTGTAACATAATGATACGATATAGATAAGTTTACACGGTATGTTTATATTGTAAAGTATTGAAATTTTATAGCTCGGCCGGGTATTACAAATGTACAATGTATATGACACTTTATGTTATAGAAACGTTTTTGAAGCGTCTCTGGGAAATTGATCAAATGTGATAATGATAATAATATCTTTTATTTATTGAAGGTATAATACGTGAAGAGATACCATCATACCATCGTAAAAAACAATGTAATACAAGTTGTGCACATGCAATTGAATAGTAGATTTAATTTTCGCCCAAGCAATACAATATTGTACATGAAAAAATGGCATCCAAAGGTTTATAGACAATTTTGTCTGTCTTTTACACTAAGTCTTCTAGGATGTGTCTATAGTGATAAAGGGACACAACTCGAGATGACATGATCAGTCATTGTCGTGTAACGGTACCCTTAAGTATTTACAATTCTTTAAAGCAAGCCACCATTTTGACATATTCAGGTCCTCTTCTCCAACGTCTTTTAGTGCCATTTCTTTCCCTTTTAAGTACTGCTGGGTTGTCAATGCTTTCATCCATTTCTCTGCTTTCGTTTTCAATTTTTCAATTTCCGTTTCATCTTGTGCTGAATTCGGATCTTGTCCTTCCGTTTCTTTTTTCGCACCAACTTTGTCGTTTCGTGTCGAGCGTTGCGGCACGGTCGTCGTGTCTGTTTGTTTTGGTTTTAAACCAGTTATCGCGTGCAGAAATATGTTATTTTTAGCAGCGCCGTGATGTCCACGTCGAAAAGCCCGACCTAAGCGAACCAATGAACTCGGATGTTTATGATCCGTATTTTTACCCGAGTATTTTGCCATTTGTATATATTCCTCCGGATTGTCAGCTATAAATTTTAAGTAATCATAAAGAGGCTTGTACTCTTCTCTATCATTTCCAACAACTTTTTTCGATGCGTTTTTCTTCTTTACCCTATTTCCCCCTGTACTGTTCACACCTCCGGCAGAAACAGCAGTTTCAACATTTTCCAGACTGAAAGATTCATCCTCAGAACTTTCGTCCATCAATCCGAATACCGACACCACTGGCTCCTCCTCTTTTTGAAATTGTGGTGGGTTTAGCTCCTCCTCTGTATGCATTCTCAGAATCCGCCTCCAATCTGGCCGATTTCGTTCTTCATCGGAGCGTGTATCGAACCCAGCTGTTGATAACGAGTTATCATGAACACAAAAGAAGCTCTTTCGCGGCAAGAATAAGTCCAAATCTCTCTTCGACCAACCATGTGAGGACTTCGGTCTAATAACACTATCTTTTCTCTTATTTCGTTTTAAAGAGCGGTTCAACGCTACACTTTCACTTCTGTTGCTAAGTATCGAATGTTCCGTGTTGGTCCTCGTAAACATTCCGTATATTGGATCACTTAAATCTTCTTTTCTGTCCAATTTAGCGTCACCCGTTTCTGAATCTCCCTTTATTGCTTCTGTCATAGTAACCGTTTTCTGTACTCTCATTTCACCATTAACTGTTACATTTTCCTTATTCTCTGAAAGAATATCTTCTTTTTTATTTTCATCCATAGGTTTGTTTTCTGTAGCATCCTCTTTAATTTCTTCTAGTTGTCCTTTAGCGTCATCCATTTTTCTACTCACAGTCGGAATTTTCACAATCACATTTTTACTGTTTCTTACTTTGTCATTTTTCTGCCCCTTAGCACTTTTAGGTTTGTCGTTGAGTGTATCTACTTTTCCCGATGATTTGACACCTGTATCCGCTCCTATTTCTTCCAGCACTGTCTCTAGTATATTTGCTTTTACATCACTCATGGTTACTTGTTTAGAAAATATTATTATCTCGCTTCAATCTTTTAAAACGAAACAAAAGAATTAGCATTATTCAGTAGCACTTATTATTTATTCAAAAAAGTATAATTCACAGCATTTGTAAAATCCATTTCTGTTCTCTTGCGTTAACCATAAATTTGTCAAGATATTTCATGCCTTTGCTTTCGAAAAGAGCAGTATGTAAAACTAGTATCACCTTTATATGTAACGTTGCTATTGTCACTTTACAAAGCTGAGCCCGAAAATCCTATATTAAACAAAACTGTAAACAGAAATAATAAATTCAAAAACAACTTAATAATTTCTGATCGAATTTTAGTTTATAATTCACTGCTTTTTTCACCACCTCTCCATTGACCTTAAAACTCCTTTTATCCCGTTTTCATATTCATTTAGTCAAGTATACTTAATCTTCGAAAATATTGTCTTTACGTATAAATATTTCTCAAATATTTATTATGTCCAAAGTCTTAAAAGTCAGTGTGAAATAATTAGGGTACACGAATTGCCAATTGTTAATTCAATAACAATTCTATTCAACACTCGCCAACTATTATTGAAAACATACCATAAAATGTATTTATTCCAACTATCGGTTTCATTTCTTTTTCAGTATTTTTTATGTATTCTTTCTTTTTCAATGGTCACAGTGTATAGTTAACAATATAGACCAATTTAAAAGGTAATATAAGACTATAGTAATGTATATACAAACTGATTTCACTTATCGAGGATTTTCATTTTTCAAGTGTTTTCAATTAAATTTAAACTAACGATAGGCGAAGTATATCTTAAAGTCAAAACACGCACCGTCATTTACTTAGCGACATAGGAAGTGCATCTGAATTTCAAGTATAATTTGTAGAAACTGAGCGTGATTTAAGACGAAATAATTCGCTTTAAGTATAAAAAGGTTTAACATTGCACATTTCTCCATTTTATGATCATGACAAAAATGATAGAAAGTAAGGTTTCACGTTTGTACAAATATTTGATCAAACTAAAGCGCGTTTTTCTGAGTTATTAAAGTTGTAAAAGTGTTTATTTTAGCTGAAGTTGATTTCAAATTATTAAAACATTAGTTCTTACCTTAGAAGTACATGGTTAAACTTTTGAATAAATACAAAAAATACTATGACAGACATCTCTCAATAAATGACTAAAATTACTAACTGAAATATATTATGTAAATACATAAAGAAATATATTTGTGTGATCCTAAAATCACAATTATGATTTGGGAGCAGGGATCCAATGGTAAAGATCCTAAAGTCACAATAGTTTGGAAGCAGTGATCCAATAATAAAGTAGAAAGTACCCAATGGCTAACGAGTAGGTGCCTAGTGGTAAAAGAGCAGAGCAGGGTTCTTGTGGTAAAAGAGCAGAGCAGGGAATTAAGGATTAGGGATCTGGTGGTTAAAGAGCAGGGGCATAGATATTAAGGAGCAAGGATCTTATAATTAAGGAACAGGGGCATTTTGCTTAAGTCACAGGGTCTAGAGGTAAAGAGAAGTTACCTGGTAGTAAAGGAACATGGTTATAGTGGGTCAGTAGCAAAGGGCCTAGTTATTCAGAGGCAGTGGCGTCGTGGGTACTGAACGGGGCCTGGTGGTTTATTAGGAGGCCAAGTGGTGAACGATCGAGCAATGACCTATTGGTTAAGGCGCATCTTCACGAGCAATGGCTCAGTGATAAAGGCGCATCTTCACGAGCAATGGCCAAATGGTTTAAGCGCATGCTCACGAGCACGGGCCAAATGGTTTAAACGCATGCTCACGAGCAAGGGCCAAATGGTTTAAGCGCATGCTCACGAGCACGGGCCCAATGTTTATATCGCATGCTCATAAACCAATTCATGATAGTTTTATTAGCCAAATTAATATGGCTTCTGATGTATTATAAATTTATTAATTCTTATCACATTTTCTTTCCGTTTATCAGAAGGATAGTTTTAACAGTGGTAACAAGTAGGGATAGTTCTATATTCAATGTTAATATCGGTTGATAAATATTAGTTATACGACCTGTCTACTTCATAAATCGGATGATTTTAATTGCAAATTTATGTTGAAACTTCTGGGTCATTGTTCAAACAGAGACATTTCGTTGTCACTTTAAATTCAATATGTTATCTTAACAAATATAAGAAGTGAGTTAATGGTTAAAATCAAACAAAACAGACAAAGTATTAAATGCCACTTTCTATATTTGAAGTGCCTTCAATATTTGATTGATATATCTAATGGTGTAACTCTTGAACTAGTTAAAATTTGTCAATTATTTGGTGACATATTTGGTCATAAAGTTGAAAGTTTTTTTATCGAATTTGTATATCACACACCATGAATTATCGTCGGTTACCTACGGTATATATTCCGTACATACTATACTATCTAGACGGAATATAAACGTGGATAACCGACGATGACCCCGAATTCACCCCTTGATGAGCGAAAATCGAGCAGCAAATATTATTGAAACCGAGCAAATTTATTTTTTGACTCATGACCTTGAAATTAAGTAAAATGTCAAACCCACTTTATAATTTGCATTACCTCTTGTCGAAATTTCCCGAACCCCCCCCCCCTTCATATAAAACAATTTCATGTGGAAGAGTGTACATTCAGACTCGCGTGGTAAATATTATTGTATGTAATATACCGATATATATTTCATCGGATGATTGGACTCCAGGTTATCTATTGCGACTTTTGAAAAGAAGTAATGGAATATGATACGTTTGGAATAATCTTGAGATCGGTAAATAATCGATAAAGTATACGTTTGAAATACGTTAATTAATGTAACCATAGCAACAATAAACACATTCTCAATCAAGTTTATTTTGTGGCGTGTTCAGTGAACGACGTTTTCTTATTTATCCAGGTACAAAGAAGAACCTACAACAAATAAGTAATAGAAAGAGCACCGAAACACGAGGCTATCTGATTTGAGGTAAGAGGCGGCGTAGCCCCCGAGTATTAATCAGATTGCCGAGTGTTTTGGTGTTCTTTCTCTTTTGTATCATAGTCAAACATAAAAGCACGTTCCCTGTTGTCACAATATGAAACCCCGGCAAAAATGAACCAATGAACGAACATCTGAATATGACATTTCTGTCGCTTTCCCTTTCTCTGTCGCCACAGTATGTAAACCCCAGCAAAAATGAGCCAATCAATGGGCATGCTCTGGATACCCGCACTCCAGTTAACGCACTGTGCATGTATATGTATACGATTTAACCCTGACACATTTTCAACAGGAAGGTCTCCATACTATGATACAAACATACTTTAATTGTAAGTAGATTTACTCCAAAATGCTTCAGTTTTGAGAAAGCAAAATGCATTTCCGTCCATGTTTTTCCTTCAAATTAAACATGTTGTCAAAATTAGAAAGAATATGGCTGGTTTTCTATTTCAAAAGGAAAACAATAAATCCGCTATAATCAGTTCACAGTCACAGCACGTGCACTTCTGTTCTGTCATTAATGCTTCAAGTTGCATGTCTCCAAATGAGGTAAAATATTCTAAGAAAATATTGAGCAAAATGAAAAGATTTTATTAAAAGTAAAAAGATTCAATACGTTCAGTAATACGTTATATGATATATGCGATTAATGACTGATTTTGCAGTATTTATCACCATATTTCTACTGCGTGACTAACGCAGTAAGAGCTACATTTGCATAATTTTACCTCTTTCTTACTAAATTATAAAGGGAGATTCAAAAAAGTGGATTGTAAATGCCGTTTGCAGTGTGTTAATTACTGTCTTTGTTCACTGCTCTATATTTCACTTTTTGATATATTTTCGAAATTTTAATGAAAGTTAGCATGCATGAATCTAGAGGCATGCTGCTTTAAGATTTTTGTATATGTTCATTTTTACTTTATTTTAAGCCTTCCTGATCTATTTGACATGATTGAAGCTTTTACAGCCATTCGGCGTCTCCAAACTGTCATCCTCTCGTCCAGCTGCTTGTCTTGACGAAGTTGTTGACGGACTATATCAACGGTATCCTTCCGCGACTCCATTTTAACAGGTGCTTGAAATGCAAGCTTTTGAGCCGGAAGACCCTTTTCCGTACTACCAGGGGTAGTAATCTGTTGAACCTTTGCTAAAAACGAGTTCGAACCCCCACCTGCAGACCCTAAAGACTGTCTGCTTTCAGATCTGACTAGTCCGCGCGCTTTTAGGTCAGCCGGTGACAGACCGTGTCGAGGACGAGGCGAATTTCCGGGGACAGGGGATCCAGTACTTTCATTTAAAAATTGCGATTCTGCGAGAGCAGATGCAGTCGTGACATCAGAAGTTCCACTTGCTGTCCGGTGCCTGTTTCCGGAATTGATAGAAACATTTAATTTATCCCCAAACTGCTTTCCTTGTCCCGTGCTACTTGCAAAACTAGCAGATAGGTCAATATTGTCGGCGTTCGGATGTAAAAATGCGTTTCCTGATGCTTGGGAATCAGACCTTACGAACGCTACTTTGGATGCTGGGCGTGACATTACATTGGCGTAAAAGGCTAAATCTTTTGCATTTGAACTATCGTTCGGACTTTTTATACTTCCACTACTGTTTGAATGTAAAATTGATCTAGGTTTTGCTTGATTTGCCGAAGCAACGCTTTCGATTTCGTCTTTTTCTGATTGAAATCTTTGCCGAGTTATTGGCGTACTCTCTCTGCTTCCACCATACCCACCCCCACCATGACCGTACATGTTTGATACTTGTGGAGATCTACTTGTTTCTCTGTCGAGAAGTCCTGATTTACGTCTTAAATTAGTAATGAATTGTCTAGCAAGTAAAGGAATATGTTCTTTAGCGCTCATTGCACTCTTTGACCTTGGCATGATGGTTACGATACGAAAATGTCTCGCTTTCCTTTCGCGCGCATTTTGGTAAATTTCAGAGACGGTCGTTCGTTTGGCATTTATGCCTCTCAAACTTTTTTGTATAGGAACTCGATTATTTATTTTCATATCGGAAGATATTGTTGGCGTTTTAAAGTCTGTGATTTTACGAACGAGCGCCAAACGCTCGTGAAGCGGGTCAAATTGTTTTTTCGACAATGATGGGTCGAACGCCTGAGTGTCTTGTTCAGGCATGTCTTCAAAATCCGTCCTTACTGGTTTCACAATGAAGCGTCCATCTTTGTTTTTCAATTTTGCTCTTACCTTACCATGTGTAATCTTATTAAACGACGTCTTACCAACTGTTATTTTACGCGAGGAACTAAGTTCCGTCTTCCGGTCCATTACTCCTACAACTGTAGTATTAGAGACTTCACTTATCTCGGATAAACCGGAGTCACTTTCGTTATCTTCATCAATAACGTGACTTGTTTCTACCGCGGCGGTTTTTGGTCTTTCAGATATTATATCCAACTTGCGGTTATTTGGAACAGGTGCGGTTTGGGGTCTAAAAACCGCGTCGTCCTTGTCAGAAGCTGTGCTCATGGCCCAAGGGGTGTTATTTCGTGATTCCAGTGCCATAGATGACGAAGAATGGACTTCTGGTCTGGCAAACGGGTCACTGGACGCCGACCTGTACAAAGAAAACCGAAGATGTTGCATTTTCTCTCGGTGAAGTTCTTTGAGTTCCTTTCTCAGTTGTTTTTCTGTTTTCATATGAACGCCCATGTTTGTTATAAATTCTTTGTACAGGAAATGACATCGTTCCATATATTCTTTGTGAACTGCACTCGGAAGACCCATACTCCCGTCTGACATGGTAATGTCAAACCCAAAATTGCGGGCAAGGTCATCTTCGACACTCATGTTTCGTACTCTATTTCCTCTGAAGAAAAGATCAAAGCAAAATGTTAGTCTGCCAGTTGTTCAATTGATACAATTGGCGCGAAATTTGACATTTTTAAATGTTTCTGATACAAAATTAAGATAATGTTATTACGATGAGCATTATAATGATCTTCTTTCTGGATATATGGATCATCAAGCAACATTCATGTATATGCACCTAACGATTTTATTCTGAATTGAAAAGTAATGTGAGGATTAACTGCCATGCTATATTTTGCCGAGTAATTTTAGTGTAACAAATATGCCATGCATAGCATCAAATGTACTGCGTTGGTATGGCGCAGTGACCCAATGTTTGGATACACTTTCTGGGATTGCGTGTCTTGTAGCCTGCTTTTCGAGTGAGACTTCAACTGCTTAGCGTTTAATAACGTTTGGTGTGTTTAATAATTAAAGATACGTCAGGAAATGTGAATAGTTCTGCATTATACTTCAACGTTTTGTCAGCTCCATAAGGAGCACTGATGGGGATTATACAAGCAAATATTTTAGTGAAAACTTCATGCTTACCAATGAATGCGCACTGTAAAAAGTTCCAGGAAATTGTATAAAACAATACACTTATTAACAGTATAGTAACTAACATTTACTTCGACATGCTCTTTGTTTCTTTCACTTAAATCACTACAATAAAATGATTTAAAAACACTCTCAATTAATCTGTACACGTTGGGTTCTTTGCAAGTGCGTTGGGTTATTAACATGATAAAAAGACTAATAATTTAATCCGATTTACAATGACTTTTTTTCAGTCTATTTAAACCAGGTTGCAGATTATGTTTTGAAGCATATCAACGTTTAATTATGCGTGTGAAAGATTCTAACTTTCGCACAGTTATTTGTTGGAGTCGTCCCAGAATCCGGATGATTGTGCAGAACAGATTTTGAATTATGTAATTGGCCATATATTTTGTTCTATAAGAGTAAGAATAAAACATAAATAATTTCAGATAATGATTTAAGGTCGATTTACACCTGACAATGTTTTTTTTGGGTCGTCTGTAACTCCAAAATGTCAGGATTGTGGTCGATGGTTATTTGTGGTCGATGGTCAAGGATTAAACACGTGGTCGCTCATTCCATACTATTTTGTATTTCATCATGAAAAATGAAATGAAACGGTCATTAATCTAATTACTATTTTATAAAGATACGATTTACTTTAAAGGTAAGGGAAATATATGTTGTTTTGAGACCAGTATATACTTCCAAGCGAAATCGGTAAAGAGGGTAGTCGTTGAACATATCCAAACCTACTCCTGGTTTTAGAAGTCAAACGTACATGTATGTTTATGACACATTATATTTCTGAACAAAAAATAACACACTGTAGGCCTATTTATGAACAAAAATATGTATGAAGAATTTATACAGATAGCGTTAAGATAAATGAAGTATCTATATAAATGACTTAATTTTCCATTCTTACAAGGGTTGAATATATTCTTACACTGATCTATTTTGAAATAAACAAATCGCCGACTTTTGACCATGGTTTTATAACACCTAATGTATATAGTTTTAAATAATGCATTTTATGTCTAATGAGGACCAGTGGCAATGTATATCCGGGATCAGACAAGTGTACATGTACATTAAACAGAACAGAGTTTTTCAAGTTTGAAAGACTATGGTCAGAATAACTGAACTTATTTTATCGCAGTGATGGTATATTTTCTGGTCATCGGGAGCACATACATGTATACAGTACAGAGTCCAGTTTATTATTAAGGATTATCACGGATTTGTGGGGTTATATAGCCGGTGATAGGGGGCATAAAGTATAACACTCATGATTAGATTCTGATTTTATTTATTTATTTATTTATTTCAAATTTCATTCACCAGTATCATCATCATCATCATCATAATAATCATCATCATCAATTATTCATCATAATCAAAATCATCACCATATTGTCGTCGACGTCGCATCATCATTACTGTTATGTCTTCGTTTTTATATGTGAAGTTTTGTTTCAACTTATTTATTAAAGCTCGATTGCGAAACAAGTTCTTGCAACTTATATATACATTTGTAATTTATATTTATATTAATGGTATCATGACTTTTATATAATTCTGGTGATTTTTTTTCAATGTATTTTTGTTAATTCAATTGAAATACCCTGTGTTTAATATAGGCCTAACCATCATTCCATAGATGTTTATTATTATTTTCAAAGATGACATTACATAATTCATATAACTTATATCCGTATGTAGTACGTCACTTTATTCAACCCAAATATACAAAGCAAGTACGAATCCTCATGGTTCGAAAATAATGTTGACGAAGTCATATCGTAGAATACTCTTCAGTAAAATTTTTCTTTGACAAAACTACGGATAAGATATATTTGAACGTTTCTAAGCAGTTAAGGTTATTTTCATATTCTAGTTTTCAAAACCGATTTTGCTTCGTTATAAGAGATGCAATCTTACTTAGACCAACGAAATAATTAATGATTCGTTCCAAGTATTTTCGTACTTAACTTAAGTTATCCGTACTGAAAGTTTACACTTTTTCGTAATTTATACATAAAAGTTTTATAGTGACATACCAGAAACTACATTGTTTATAAGTCTATTCCATTATGTTAATTATGATATTAGTACGTCAAACATGACGTGCCATAAGTTGAACAGATCTATTTTATAAACAGTAGAAAGTGAAAGTAGAAATTTTTGCAGTTGTTTGTTTTTATAGGAAGGTGAATATCTTTTAAATTAGTTTACCAATTAATTTGATTCATCAATATAATTCATTTTTATATAGATCTAGATTTACAGATAAGATTTGATTACAATTGTCAATTCACAAACTGTTTATAGTCCAAGTGATAGGCAGCCAGTCTATGACAGTGTACGTGACCACTCCAATTTTTTTTGATGAATTAAATATTTATTTATTGAAAATGTTTTTAAAACATCTAATTTTAATTAAAACAACAAAAAAAGTTGTACTTTTGATTTTATCCGTAATATACCAGGGCTGGCAAATCTGATTTTGACTTACGTTTTTGATCTGAAGCATTTCTTATAACTTGTCCCTATGATATTTACATTTGACATTAAAATTTTAAAAACATTTTGAATAAATAAATATTTAATTTATCAAAAAAAAAATGGGATGGTCATGTACATGTATAGTATCCAACTCCAAGCCATGCACCAACTGCCTTTGACAGCTACATACATGTATGTAGTCTTGTCAAAGAGACGTCGGGTTGAAAGATTTTTATTTTAGGCAATGTCTTTTTCAAACAGTTTTTTACCAAGAAGAAAAAAATGTTTGAAAAATGGGTCAAACCATGAAGCTTTTTATTATATTCTGTAATAAAAGTATCGATACATGCATGAGACTGGTCAAACCATGAATTGATGCCAATTTAATCATGTTTATTAATTTAGTTTTTTAAGTTTGATCATTTGACATATGATTTATAATGATGATTTTTTGGTGAAAGTTGTTATGCACTAGTCTAGTTTTCTTTCACTGGAATCACTCCTGTCCGAGGAATAATATTATGGTAACTTTCTCTTTTCAAACCACTGGTAAAGGCTCGGTCTTGCATTATAAGACATGTCACAGTCTGGTGGTTATACTAGACTACTAGTCCAACTTATTGTAGTCTACGTGATAAGATATTGTGATATTTTGTGTATGGATCATCATAATATCTTCCACTACATAGTAGAAGCGAGATTCTGACCCAGAGGAAAAACATCTCAAAATCTGGATTTGGCACATCACTATATTTTGACTAGTGGTAATACATGCACTTAAAATGCTCTGGCACTGTAATGTGGACATGTCCACAGCTACTTTGGTGCCAGAACACAAAGTCATATGATTTGCATTATTATCAGATTTAAAAAAAAATATATTTGTGGTGCTACTGAATAGCAAATTATTGTATTTGCATATAAAGCATTATGTTTGTGGCGATACACTGCTACCATCAGACATATTCACATATAACAATTGATATTCTTTATTAACTTCAGATTAAAAGATGGGGCCTAAGAAGATATCTTTGGATCGCTATGAGTCTCCACTAAACTGGGTAGAAAAATGGACGTATTTTGCTGGCACAGTGTGGACTATATCTTATCTTGGCTTATCTGTTTACCGAGACTCTGTCAGTATGTATTTTTACAATTGTCTTACAGGGATTTTTTTTGGCTTATTTTATAGCCGATTCTGTCATATTCCCAATTGAAAATAGTATATTATTTTCCCAATCCACGGGAAAAAATTCCCAATTGAAAGTTATTATTGAATAACAAATTCTAAAATCTTTGAAAATAAGGGCCTCTTCATTGTTATGGTGCTTAAATGTTTGAAGATGCCATCTTAGACATTGATTCTTTGCATTCATTTAATCTTTGGAAAATTTAATTCTGCATTTTTTTCCCCAATTTTTCAACAAAACATCACTGAAGTACCCAATTCCTTGGTCCCAAAATCCTGGAAAAAAACCCTGTCTTATTTTACCAATTATACATAAATTCTGAGTTTTTTGAAGATCTCTTCTTTCCAAACTGCACATTCACAGATAAGTAATGTAATTTCTCAATAATTAAATATCAGTAGAATAAAAGTTTTTAATTTAAATATATGCCAAGTAAAGTTACAATATTCATTTTCATTAATATGAGCCAATATGAGATATCTTAACCCCTGCAGACAAGGCATTTACATTTAGGGCCTTTACTCTACTGCCAGCTAGTGTAGGACATTGTTGTAGGTTGGACTTTTTTCTGTTAAAAGATAATAAAACCTGTAAAAGTTTTAGTCAGTGAAGGCAGTTTGAAATTATTTTATTCTTTTTAGCTTCACTTTTCAAAAAAAGTAGGTTGTATATGAAACTCACATTAAGTCATTTGCATTTGTCATATGTTTTTCTTTTTTTACCTTTTTAACACAGAATATGAACATGTTTTGCATCCTGATGACTTTCAAGAGGGTTGGTCATGGTTAGGTAGAAAAAAGGACATTTCTAATTTTGAGTGGACATTTTGGTATAACATATTCTGGAAGATCTGGCCTTGGTATGCAGGACATCTTATAATTGGCAAGGTTATGGAATATTTCTTTCCTCGGGTAATGTTATATCTATTTCATTGTATGATACACTTTATAATCATGAGCTAATTCTATTAATTCATTATTGTAATAATTCGCAATATTAGACCTTTTTCCCAATAAGCCTAAGCGGCTTTCAGGTAAAGGTCACATGGTTACAAAAATTCCAAAACCAGGCAGAGCGTGATAGTGTCCAAAGCTTACTGGATGCATCAGTATTACATGTTTAACATTATTTTCAAAATTACTTATTGTTCTTATATATTTCATACAAACAAAAGGAATTCACGCAATGTTTAATTTAACTTGTCCTTTTTGAGCATTTGCTTCATTTGAGCTCATACAATTTACTTTGCTCAAAATAATGTCTGGATCTCTGCAAAACTGGAAATAAAAGAAAACAGGTATTGAGTCTATTGACTAACCAAGTTTTTGCCTGATGGGTAAGATAGAGGCAGAGGTAAAAGATTTTCTCGAATTTTGCCAGAAACTCCAATTTTTTCAAGCTTTGACCTATTTTCAAGCTTTGAGCAGAATAAGTATTTGATTCTCAACATAAAATCTTTTTATCTAGGGTTTTGTTTCCTTTTATTAAAATATTTGATATTCCCGGGATTTGAACCTGCTGTGTGCAATGATAAGTATTGACTCAAAGTCAACAAACTATGACCATTTGGCAACACAGGTTAAATCAGAGACTTGTGTTTCATAATTAACACATTTTAGTCATTGAGCATAGAAAATATTAAAGGAATTAGTTTTGGTCCTATAACAATTACAGTTCAACATCTTCAGAGTGATTCTCTGTAATGCAATAATCTCTTTTCAACAACAGTATAATTTCTTCCCATTTGAAAGAATTTAAAATTCATAATAAATTTAACTTGTCTAAATCAACATTTGTATGCAACAACCAAAATCTTTGTCTCCCAGTGGGTATTGCTGAGCTGTAGAGTTTGTATTGCATTACTCAAGTGTATTGATGTATTATTAGGGTAAAAAAATCATCAGCAAGGAGCTTACATGTACAAAGACTGGTACCATTTTAACATACAATGTATTTTGATGACAAAGTTTTAGCTGTAGATAGCATGTGTCTCCCACATTATTTTCCAGCTCATAGATATAATTTTTATTTTTTAACCTATTTTCAGAACAGGAAGTATGTGTTTTTGGTATTTTCACTGATCTGCATCAGTTATTTGGGTGGCTTCCTACCACTGGTTCTGTATTTAGCACATTGCACTCTGATGTACGTAGTGTCACTTACTGGAAACACCAAATTGACATGGTTTGTTGCCCTTTGTGCTCTCACGACCTTGAACTTTGAACCATTTATTTCTATGATGGTAAGTTATTAAGATAGTTACATATTTGGATAAGAAATCATTTACATGTGTTGAAAAAGTGTAAATTTGACATACATTGATTAACTTCACAATCCACTTTCAGCAAATATATTACTTTATACACTTTAGTAAATACACCAGTGCAAAGTAGACTGGTTTAAAGTGATGCCATTTAGATAGATACAGATTTATTTCAATATACAAAAATAACATGGCACATCATGAAAACATAAGAAAAAAAAAACAGAATGATACAAGATGCATAAATTTAAAAATAGCCTTTATATATCAAGGATACCACACACAAAAGAGTTAAAACCAACTTTTATTTCCTTGGGGTCCTTAAGATATAAGTATTTTTTGTGAGTATCACAAATTTAGATACATCACAGTAACAATACAAATTTACATGTACATGTATGATAAAAACTAAATGAGCCGCGTCATGACAAAACCAACATAATGGTTTTGCGACCAGAATGGATCCAGACCAGCCTGGGCATCCGCGCAGTCTGATCAGGATCCATGCTGTTCGCTATCAGTTTCTCTACTTGTAATAGAATTGGTAAGCGAATAGCATGGTTCCTGATCAGACTGCGCGGATGCGCAGGCTGGTCTGGATCCATGCTGGTCGCAAACACATTACGTTGGTTTTGTCATGACACGGCTCAAATGATATTTCAAATTGAGCATTACATCAAGTAGTAGACTATAAGTTTTTACTGTTTACTTGTAAAAATGGTCTAAGGGAGGTAACTTTTGTTAATTTACTGTTCATTTGCTAACAAATTGAATGTAATGACTGTTACAATATCATTAAAATCAGATCAGCATTTTTGCTCCATTACTCTATGTTATGAAGGAGTGTCAGGATAATTATGATTTTAATGGGATAGGGTCTATTACATTGTATAGTCTGATAGAATGTTCTATATCATATCATACAATGAAACCACAGATTGTCAATGCAAAATGGGTTAGTGGATTTAAATAACTGATTACTCTTCCAAATCAAGAAGTGATTCAAATACTTTTTGACACCAGTACTGGTTGGTTCCAGGAAGCGGACTCGAAAGTGATTAATATAAGTTGCAAGAACTTGTTTCGCAATCGAGCTAAGATAAATATGTTTAAACCAACTACTTTTGTAAAAAAATTTAATTTACAGCACTCAGATTTAATCATTATCAAAAATTTGAAAAAAAAAGGATTCAAGTTTAAGCTAATATTAAGTAAGAATGAGCCTGCCAACTTGGCTCAGTGGTTAACACGTCAGTTTAGTAATGTAAGGATTGCTGGCTGCATGGGTTCAAACCCCATTAGATGTATTCCAATGTTTCCGTGAGCAAGAAAATTTACACTTAGTACTGGTTGGTTCCAGGAATAGATTTCAGAGTGTTTTGATAAGCTTATAGCTTCCAACACAATGGAACAAAAAAAGAAAATTTTGTATAAACTTTATGAAATTGAATTACCATTTAGTGTTGAATATTTTTGTACTATTCTATCATATCCTTTATAACATGGTGACCATTCCCTAATGTTGTTTCAGAAATCACTGATAGATGATGATGAGGAAGAGACTTGGTACTATTTTCTCATGTTTACAATAGCTCTAATCAACATTAGATGTACAAGTTTCTGCCTTGAGAAATGTTGGAATTATCAAGAACAACAAGCAGCTCAAGGTACATATAGTTATGGTCTAGTGGCTAAGGTGTCTATCCCGCAAGACAGGGATTGTTGGTTTTTAGCGCTGTGTTGGTTTGAACCATGTATGCTAATATGACACAAGTACTGGTTGAAACCAATTAAGAGAGTGGTTCAAATAAAGTTAAAATCTTCATCGTAGTCGAGCTACAATAAGCAATAGTTGAAACTAAAGTCATGGTTGAATTAATGAGTCATGCTTCTTTTCTATGGTTGAAAATGAATAAATTCTATATGCCAGTTTAGGCTTCTACAAAATTGAAAACCATTCGAAATTTAGACCTTTAAATTGGTTTTGAAAAATCTTGATTTTTTCTCTTTGGTTAAGAATACAACTGAAATTTTTCAATCTGTACAGAAATACTGCTTAACCAGTATTTCAAATTGTTAAGATTTAGTGATCTATTACAAAACTTTATTAGCTTTGCTTTCTATTTTTCTTTAACCTTTTCCCTTATATAAGCGTGTTTCGACGGCTTTTTGTCCCCCCCCCCCTTTTTGAGGCCCCAGACAGTGAAAAAATGCCCTTTTTAGGCCCCAAACACTGTTTTTCGTTTGAGAAATGTTGTTCAAAAAAGTGACCACTTTTTCGGCGCTGTCCCCCATCCAAATATTACATCAGGGGGTTGCCAGAAGGGGGATGTGCCCCCTTCTGTTTGGGAGGTTTGAAGGGGGCGGAGCCCCCCTCATCTCCAAGAAAATTTTGGACATGTGACAGGCTAAAAATGGCCTCAGGTCGAACCTAGGGTAGCTAGTAACCGACGCTGAAAAGCCTTTTACTGTATCTCAATTCATTGAGAAGTTGCAGCACTTTGAAATCAGTTTAGATGGAAAAAAACAATGCAAAATAGTGATTTTTGGCAATTTTGAGACGTTCCCCCGTTGCCATGGTAACAGGAAATTTACCATTGAGCATGCTGTTACAGAGGCTATGGTGTAGGGAGTCAACATTTGTGCCAAGTTTCATTAGTATTGAAGCATTTTTCATACTTTCATAGCAGTTTGAACTTGTTACAGGAGGCTTTTCAGTGAAAATGGCCATTTTTCGCAATATGCTCATGGGGTAAAAGGTTAAAGATCCTGTAAGTAAATTTTTTATGGTTTTATATCATAAATATAATGCTCAAATAAAGATTTATCAATATTATTAGTTCCAAAAAGCATTATTTATAAAGTTATTACAGAATTTACATTTCATGTTAATAAATGAAGGCAATTAGAAATTTAATTTTTTATAAAGTCTAAGTCAAATTTTTTAATAAGAGATTTTAATGATTACATATAATGTGGGCAATATGTGCAGTACATATTTTACATATTCTTTGATGTTTGAAAATTGTTTTAGAAGCATAATTATATACATAATTATATAAAATTTCACTTCAGTGTGGTAACAACCTTAATAACAACATACAGGATCTTTAAACAACTAACTGATTTTCCCAGAATACTGTTATAGGGATCTGCTTTTTGTTAATTTATGATTTGTAATACATTGTAACCTCTGCAGAATTGCCCTCTGGAGAGCAAGAAGTTCTTTACAACAATTGGTATCTAATTTTTCCCTTAATGGAGCCTCTCAAGAGCAACATCCCAAAAGATGTTGCTCCACATAAGTTGTATATATATCATACATGATGTTGAATATTTAATACATTTTTTTTTTTAAATTTTGATGCCATTTTATACTTCTATTACATACAGAAAGCCAGAATACTGACATGTACAAAGAGATGAAGCCTGTAACCAGTGATAAAAGAGGATCAGGGAACCAGGCTAAGGAAGGGAGAGAAGCAGTGGGCTACAGCTTTATTGACTTTCTGTCTTATGTATTTTATCTCCCCTTGTATTTCACTGGACCTATACTGACTTATAATCTCTATAAAGAACAGGTAAGCTGAAAAAAATGCACCTTTAAGTTTTCAGAGATATTTATAAGTTTAAACATACATTAGACAGTGTAAATAGTACTACTGTAGGCTGATCTTGGTTTGCACTGGTCACATTGGTAGAGTCTGTTGCTGATAATGAATAAAATTAATGAGAATTTAACATTATAAATACACTTTTCTGGATATTTTGTTCCTAAGAAACGTTGGATATTAATGTACTTAAGAGGCTTTCCTTTAATTAAAGAAATCAAGGAGAACCTGGTCAAGTTAAAGTAAAAATAAGTGACAAAATTACTGTAATGATCATTAGGTACTATGTATTGAGCAGAGAAGTGATGAATTTTGATTTCTTCCCTTAGATTGTGAGGGAATGTATTTCAGATTACCTCCCTTGGTACTTAATTTTTATTTAGATAACCTCCCTTTGTGTTATTGATATTCCATCAAGGTTTCCTCCCTTTGATCTTAAAAAAATTATTAACCATCAACGTGCTTTGATTTTCAGATGAATTCTCTGATACCAGAAAATCCCAGACCGCACCTGAAATTGCAGACGCTACATCTGCTCCGTATTTGTTTCTGGGCGATGTTTAACGAGTTCCTTCTACATTTCTTGTACTTCAATGCGTTACAACACAACACGGCCGTCCTGCGGTCAGTCTCGCTGTTCTCGCTGGCAGGTTTAGGCTACAGTCATGGACAGTTCTTTATGGTGAAATACCTAGTCATGTTTGGACTACCCGGCACCATAGCAAAGTTCGATTATTTGAATCCACCAGACCCACCCAACTGCATCTCCTATATATATCTGTACTCGGACATGTGGAAGTGAGTCCAAATTTTTCTGAAACCTTTTATGTCGATTTGTACTGAAGTATTAATAAAATCTTAACATTATGTTTCAAAATGTTTCAAGGTTGACTTTAAATTGCATTGCTTTCCTATGCTTATAAATGGTTCAAGGTTGACTTATATGGATACTTTAAGGGTATAGAGCTATATTGAGTAAAATATTGTTTTAAGATTTATATATGGTAAATTTACAATGTACATGTATGTTGTTTACATAATCTTAGGATCGATTCTCAAAAAGTTGTAACATAGAATTTCTGATATTAAATCACATGAATATTGTATGTTAACAGAATAAAACATTACAGTGCAAAATATTTTAGTGCTATTTTAAAAGGAGTTATATAACTGTTTAGCAATGATTTCATGCATGCAAACTTCACTCTTAAGGAAATATTCAAATATACATGTATTTCTTTCATTAAAGTATTTTGGAATTATAATTAATGTTAAAAATAAAAATAAAAATTAAAAAACTACTAACAGAAGATAATTATATAGCTGTATACAAATGGTTTGATATAAACTAACGCAAAATTACAAGATTTGCTACAAATATATATCAATATTGATCAAATGAGTATATGTGTACATGTTTAGTTTATACAAATTTTTTTAGTTTGATTTTTTGGAAGACATGTTTAGTTTATACAAATTTATTTTAGTTTGATTTTGTTGGAAGCTAAAAGCTTATTGAAACACTCAAATCCATTCCTGGAACATTTTCAAACCAGTACTTAGCATTGAGTGTAAAGTTTCTTGCTTAAGGAAACAAAGGCATTTGAACCTACGCCGCCAGCAATCCTCAGAATACTAGTCCAAGGTGTTAACCTCCCAACCATGCAACCACACATGTTTCACAAAATCCAGCAAAATATTATTAAGTACAGTTAAGACAATGTCTGATGAAATATTGGGATTAAATAAAAATCATCTGGTGCCAATATAATCCAATATAGATGTAAAGCTGATCTGAAAAACAATTATATTATTTGATAGGAAAATAACATTCCATTTTGGTCTATGAATTATCCGTGTCTCATTATTACTAATGATGAACTGGGTTATTTAGGTACTTCAAAGAAATATCTTCATTATGAAGGATTAAAGGCTTACGGAATTATTTTCATCTTATGGTATGAAATTTATCATGTTTCACTTGTAACTAATGCCACTCATGAAATATAAATTATTTTCATACCACTTGATGAGAATATATTCTATATTTGTAGAAAAATCTTGAATTTTCTGTGTATTATATAATTATTTTCTCTTAAAACATTTGACATTACAATTAAAAAGACTTCCCCTTACATTCTGTGTATTGGCTGAATTAGAAAAAAAACTTAAATATCCTCTATTTATGTAGAAATAACTGCTTTGGTTGAATTATTAGATTTGTTTGAACATTGGGATTATAGTATTATTTACTTATACAGTTGCTATTACTTATCTTTTTTAGATGTTTTGACAAAGGTTTATACAGCTTTTTGAAAAGGTGAGTTTTTTAATAGATGCAATCAGTTCTAGTTCTGTTACTACATTATATTATAGTATGTTGTTTACTTATCAATTATAAGGGAGAGCATTGGATTTGTCATCCAGGATCCGAGGTTATAAATAAATGAGCACAAACTCGGATCTCAGGTATTTGATTGGTCAGAAACCAACACAGAATGTATATTGAACCAATGAAAATCCTGGGATTTGCGACACAACTCAGATTAAAGTTTTAAAACCTCGGGGCCTGGGGTCAATGGTTTGATCCTCGGGATAAGGTGTATTTATCCCGGATATTTGAGTCTAATAGTCATTTGTCTTTCAGAATTTATTTGGGATAAGTAGTTGGTCACTTGCAGAGAAATTGGTAATAACTGGTAAGTATACCAGGTAAGCTTGTTTGGTGTACTGACCACTAAATGGTATGACCAAAATAGTGTTGAAATTGTTGTAAAAACCAGACAAAACAAACAAACAAAGCTATGGTATATACAATGACTTGTACTGGTGATGACATGGTCAAGCTTTATTAGCCCCCTACCGGTTTACTGGAGGGGACTTTAGGTTTACCCTCCGTCCGTCTGTCCGTCCGTCTGTCCGTCCGTCCGTCTGTCAGTCCGTCAGTCCGTCCGTCCACAAAACTGGATCCCGCGATAACTTGAAAAGTACTGAAAATATTTTTATGAAACTTGGTATATGGATAGATGGCAGTATGGAGATTATGCACGTCTTTTCTTTCCTTCCTATGTTGAAAATTCTGCTTGCTATGGCAACAAATAGGCTGAAAATATGGCAAATTTTACACATAAACTGGATCCAGTGATAACGCAAAAAGAACTGGAAATATTTTTATGAAACTTGACATATGGGTAGATGGCAGTCTTGAGATTATGCATGTCTTTTTCTTTTCTTCCTATGTTGAAAATTCTGGTTACTATGGCAACAAATAGGCTGAAAATATGGCAAAATTTTACACATAAACTTGATCCAGTGATAAAGCAAAAAGTACTGGAAATATTTTTATGAAACTTGACATATGGGTAGATGGCAGTCTTGAGATTATGCATGTCTTTTTCTTTTCTTCCTATGTTGAAAATTCTGGTTGCTATGGCAACACATAGACTGAAAATATGGCAAATTTTACACATAAACTGAATCCAGTGATAACTCAAAAGTACTGGAAATATTTTTATGAAACTTGACATATGGGTAGATGGCAGTCTTGAGATTATGCATGTCTTATCTGTTCTTCCTATTTTGAAAAAAATATCAGTTGCCTTGGCAACATTAATAGGCTTAAAACATGGCAAATATAACAATATTTGTGATTAGTCAAAAAGAGCTGAAAATTTTTATGAAATTGCATCTTTAATTCAAGAGTTATCTCCTGTTTAAGTATTTTGCTTTTAAAATGTTATATTTTGGTAACAGGGATGTTTCAAATATTAACTTTAGAGTGTCCTTCAGTCCGTCTGTCTGTCTGTTCATAAAAACTTTTTCCTGTGATCACTTTTAAAGAACTTTTCCAACAAATTTACTTAAAATAGAGAAAAATTGAAACATTAGTGAATGGCCCTTCAGAATGTTGATGGGGTTCTAACCAGTAGGGGACTTATGGATTGCTTGCAATACTATGATAATTGCTTGTTGTCCTAGTACAATGTTTAAATGCATTCTATATAAGTTATGTATTTAACTCACTACAGTGTTGGAGCAGTATGTATAGATGCTTGCTGAAATCAAGATCACAGAGTAGAAAAATATCGCGTTTTTATCTGATTCTTACATTTTTCATATTATCGTATAATTATCTTGTACAAATCATTGTGAAGAGATGAATAAGATGTTTTAAAGTTCATGTAGTTTGGTAAAAAGCTGAGAGTTTATCATTTAATCTTTCAACCGCCTTGTCCAGTATATACAGAAATACAAATACAGTATTTAGTGTGGTGCTCAAACACTTTTTCAGTCTCTGACTCGTAAATTATAACGTTAGAATGTATAGCCATTCATTTTATTGGTCACTGATTTGTAATTAAGCTACAAATATTTGATTTCTATAAATGTTCCTACTTAATGATCATGTACAGAGAGAATCCTATTTCAGCGGTAATTTTAGCTACCTTATTACACATTTTTATTAGGTTATCCATTGTTCCAATTTTTTTTCCTATAAGCAGGCTTTTTTGTTGTCACGGAGATAGGCAATTTTCTGGTGATTGACTGAAGATTAAGGTTTCAGATTGCTTCTATATTTATTCTATTTTCTGTTTGAAGACTTTTATCCACTAATTATGTTTGACATTTTCATGTAATATACATCATGGGGTTTAAATGGAAAAAAAACAAGACAACTTGGGGAAAAATGAAGGTTTGACAATGACATTGTGCTTGAGACTTTAGCCTTAGCCTTACCCTTAACCTGCTGGTAGGGACTGAATCTTCCCATGCTGCCAGTGCAGACCAAGATCAGACAAGACAGAAGTACTGGCTGATCTTGGTGGGTGGGGATTGAATCTATGCGTGCGGCAAGTACCGTTCTAGATCAGCTGATACTTCAGTATTGTCTGATGAAGGTCTGCACAGATCCATTTTCAATCAATACATATTTTTGAACTTTTCTCTTAAAATAATAAACGGTTTTAGGCGCTATTCCATTGGTACGCGATCCGTGACCTGCATCCGTGATCCGTGTCCGGTGCATGTCCGTGAGTATTATTCCATAGGTACGTTATTTTCTATATACTTTTAATTATAGTATAGCGAACAGAGGATAATTATTTGTAAAACATGATATAATTTCATTCTAATACCCAAAACCAGTTGTAACATCAAAGAATTAGGTAAAAAAAAAAGGAAAAACATTGAATACCAATTAGGTTTTTGAATAACATTCTCTTTAGGAACCGAAGACCAGATGTTGTTTTTTTAATCTGTCATTGGTGCATCATAAACTTATAGTT